CAAGATGACACTGATTTAGAGGTGGGACTAGCAGGACATCATATGATCCCAATCTGACTGGGTGGGCAGAAATAGGAGGAGGAATAGAGTTTAGTAAGTAACCAGATCCCAAGCCATGATGAGCTATATACAGGAGGTAACTGTTAAAACCATAAACTCTGGAAGCCTAATGGTAACCAGTTCAGTTGGTAACCAGTTCAGCCCACCAACCAGTGCTGTTACATGGACAAAATATGAAGTGTTCATAACTAGTTCCTGCCTTCTGGATCACTTGTAGATTTCTAATGATCTTCAAAGGTAGAATCTTCAAAGCATGTAGAATGCTTTGTAATTGTCCAAAAGAGAGAAGGTCATGGCACAAGTGATTATGAGAAGGCATTTCAGTTCAGAAAGAGATATAACTACCACACAAGGTGAATGCCTGCTGGTTACAGCTGTCACCTGACTGTTAGTTCTTGCCAGTAATAGAGCAATGGAAAGCCAACATGAAAGAATGGGACTTAAGCATGAGTAGCGTTGTATTTATTTTGGCACAATTGATTATGAGGTACTAAGAGATCTGGTGTGATACAGATTTGGCTAGAGACTGATATTTGTAGAAGACTAAATCCTGCTTATTCTTCTAAATGTGGGTTTTTCTGATGTCGCATAGTTTTATTTTCAAAATTGTACTCTAAAATTATAATAAGAGATAAAGAGTTCCTTGAGCCATCTCCTTGCTGACTGCATGAACATGTAGGCTTTGTTCTTTTTTTCCTTTTGGCAACAATACAGAGATGGTTTATCACTGCCTTCTTCAATGATTTTATTTTCAACCTTCCAGTCTAGACTGGAACATCTAGTGCTCTTCCAATCAAGTATTACTTAGGTTTTGTCTTAGCTTTTCCGTTATCAACCAATGATAGATACTGCAATTGCTGTAATGCCATGCCCATAAATCCAAATAATCATAGTGAAATCAAACTCTTTCTCATCCTTTGCTGAAGGCCATCCAGCTGCCTTCACAGTTGTAAGTATAAGTCATATAAGTATTAGGAAAGCATGCATATAGCTGCTGTAGATTGAATTATGCTGCTGATCATGATTTTCTGTTTTCTAAATCTAAATTATGAACATTTTGTATATTTTTTTATATTCGTACATTGGTTTTTAATTGGATTGTTTTTACATGTGGTCCTGAGTCACTTAGATGGGTCAAGCAGCCAAATTAAATTAATAATAATGATAATGACCAGCATTAAGAAGGATGGACTAGGTTACAGTAATGATGGGAAAGACCTAAGGGACCAGGTTAGGGATAGATCATCACAGAAAAACCTTATTTATGTGGTTGCCAAGACTCAACACTGACTTGGTGGCACACATTATATCTCTCTCCTCTCCTCTCCTCTCCTCTCCTCTCCTCTCCTCTCCTCTCCTCTCCTCTCCTCTCCTTTCCTCTCCTCTCCCCTCCTTTCCTCTCCCCTCTTCTCCACTGCCGTCCCCTCCTCTCCTCTCATCTCCCCTCTCCTCCTCTCCTTTCCTCTCCTCTCCTCCTATCCCCTCTCCCCTCCCTTCCCTTCCTCTCTCTTTCTCTTTCTTAAAAAAGAGCATACAACTGGCAGGATAGTTTGGGGACAACTTTCCCCACAAGAGTAAATATTACTTTAGCCTCATTACTTAATGAATTACATTTTGGATCTATCTTCTAAGATCATGAGAGACAGGATGCCAGTTTGGGATAAGGATAAGGAGGATGATAAATAAATATTTTTATGTGCTTTGCAAAAAAGACCGCTTTGATTATTCCAGGTTCCTGTGATCTTGATAGGTTAGTTTTTGTCCCATCCTTCCAAGGAAGGGAATGTAAAGGGAATAACTTCTAACATGGCTTAAATCTGTGGTATTGCAATGTCTTAAGGAACAGGTGGAGTCTTAATGTAATAGGGGTCGAATGTCTCAGCTCCATTTGATTTATTTCCATTTGCTTGTTTCATCTTTTAGGGATGTTGCTTAAGCAACCGTGATCCAAGACTTGCAATTGAAATGGCTCATAAGATTGGGATGCTCAGTGTTAGAAACTCAGGAGTATTTCATTTTAATAAGAGCACAACAAAACAAGAATGAAAACATGCAAACCAATTTAGCTCCTGACAATTTGTAATTGCACAACATAGTTCTCATCAGATTGCAAAGGCATTGTTTCACATAGATTAAAACAATTCACCCCAAAAGAAAGGGTGCATTAAAGTTTATGCATTACAACTGCATATGGAAAGCAACAACATGCCTGCGGAATGAACAAGTTTGTCTTATATCAGGGAAACTATCTGTACAGAGACAATTAGTCATCAAATAATGAGGATGAACATCTAATTGCTTATTTTAAAGCACATTTATTTATGATGCTAGTTCATATAAAGCTTAATCTAAACAATTTTCTTCTCCCTTCCTTTTTCTATAGTTATATAGTTATGAGAATTTATTCTAATACAAACTGAAAAGACAAGGCACAAAAAAGAAACACTTTCTGCCTCGTCTGAAAGTAATAATTGTGCTTGCTGAGTGGCTTACAAATTTGGATGAATCAATTAACAATAAAAAGAACAATTCAGTCTCCTTTTGGAGAAAATAATAAATTTATTGGAATTCAGTTTCAGTAGACAGAGCCAAAGATCACACTGTAAATAGCCATTGACTAAATGTTCAAAAGCTTTCCTGAAATGTTCAGTCTAATGAGAACTGTGGCACAAGAAAACAGAATGCAATTGTTTATGGAGTTTTGCACTCATGTCAGAAACACCGAGGGTGCTTCTGGGTTGAAAGAATTAGCTGGTGACATCACTGTTGCCTGGGGAATGCCAATTTGGGCGCTTTTTTCATGTCCCAGCAGGAGCTGGAGCTCGCCCCGTCCCAGGGCAGCACTTGGGTCTTGAACATGGGCTTGCTAATCTCCAACCCAGTATCCTAACCACGAAAGCCACCATGTTTGGGGAGTTGAAGGGAAAGGAATCTTAATTTTATAGGAAGACAGAGTATGGTTATACCTAGATCAGTATTTCTCAATCTTAGCAACTTTAAGAAATGTGGACTTCAACTCTCAGAATTCCCCGGCCAACCCTGGTGGCTAGGGAATTCTGAGAGTTGATATCCACACCTCTTAAAGTTGCCAGTGCTGGAACATGCTCACCTAGACCATCTCGAATTGTTATATTCTCTCTTGCTTGCAGGTTTGCCAAGGTCTGCAAAGATCAATAATAAAGATGCAGGAGATACTTTTCATAAAAAATACATGATAGAGAAAATGCCTAGGTACACTTTCTACATAGGGAATAACTGCAATTTTAGGGAACACGTAATTCCTCTCCTGTCGCCTGGAAGAGACCTTGATAGTCCTTTAGGCAGTGGCTTTAGGATAAATGGAGCTCCCTAAGGAGAAGAGGACAATTCTCTCCCACACAGACAGTAAAACAGTGGTAAAAAGTAGTAAAACTGTGAGAGCCAGAAAACATTTCACTGCTCAGCAGATAAAGTGAGACCACCAGCCATTCTGAGAGTCTCTGTTTTCCTTTTCCTCTGTTATTAAAATGGGCCTGGATAAGTAAAAAAAAAAATGAAAAAAAATCCAAACAAACCAAAAAACCCAAGAAGGATTCTAGTATTATTAATGAACATTACTGCTGTAATCACTGTTTATCACTATGTCTCAAGGCACTATTTAGAACCTCTCTTGAAATGCTCTACCTGAGAACATACTCTAGTGCTACAGCAGATTAATTCTGGAACTATTGAAATTTCCTGACAGTTAGAATAATTAATCAATAGCGTAACTTGCCTCCAGAAGTTGTAGGTGTCATGGTTCTGATGCTAAGACCAACAAAATCAGAACTCCAAGGCTAGAGGTTTCCTCAGAGAACATGTTTATTGGTTACAAAATATCAGCATGATCAAAAGTGAAACCAACTCTGAAATTCTCTCTAAAGAGTTACACTATTACAAAATCAAATTTCCCACCACAGAGCTATGCAATCAGCCACGTTCCCATAATAATTTGGAGGGCTTTCTAACTAAACGTCCAACCCACAAAGTTAACTGATAGAATGACCTTGGTTCCCGTGGAAGCCAGAATTGTTTAGACTAGCAAAGAGAGTCCGCACCCCCTCCTTTTCTTGAGGCAACCTAGAATGAGCAAGATGGCTTCAGCCAGGTTCACTGTAGAGTTGACAGTAGGTGCTCCAACACTGGAGATTTTTAAGAAGAGATTGGATAGCCATTTGTCTGAAATGGTAGAGGGTTTCCTGCTTGAACGGGGCAATGGACTAGAAGACTTCCAACCCTGTTATTCTGTTATTTTATTATTTTGAAATGATGGGTGTAGGCAGCCACCAGCCAGACTTACTGGCCAGATTTATTTGTGTGTGTGTGTGTGTGTGTGTGTGTGTGTGTGTGTGTGTGTGTTTCACTATGGTTAGTCTTATTTTAAAAAGTATGGGAATGGAAACGAAAGGCAAGGGAGATGGAATATTTCCTGTAAGGCAGTTCAAATGACTACAATACATGACTTTATTGCATGCTAACACTCTCTATAACAGCAGTTCCCAATCTTTTCTATACCTCTAGAATGCTTCTGATATATTCTCGCACCCCTTACAAAAGTTTGAAATAATGACAACAACTTATGTATATACACTATAATTTTGAAAACCTAAGTTTTCGCATCCCCTGGAATATCGTCTTGCACACCCATTTGGGAACCCCTGCTCTATAAGAATTTGAAATACTAGAGGTCAAAGCAAATTGGTGATATAAGAGTCAACGGAATTCAAGATCGGTTGGACCTAATCTCTTGTGGGCATGAAGGGATTCAAGGTTGATGACATGCTTGAACCCTTCCTTTGGCTCAGCCTGGTCATCTCCTACATCTATACTGACTAGTCCTCTAGTTGGGAAGGCTTGAAATATGGCCAAAGAGGTTTTCCAACTCCTGGTTGCCTCTTACTCCCAAGCTTGTGCAAACTTACTGGATGGAGTTCTCAATGCGGGTGATGGTGAGAAAAGCTGCTAGATTTGCCGTGTAAGATGAGATGACGATCAAGGCAAATAGCCACCAGGCACCCATCATCATTCGAGTTGCCAGTGTGGTATAGGGAACTTCTCCTCCTGTTGAACAAGAAGGGTAGAGTGATCAGATTTTCATTGCAGAAGAAAATCTCTTTATCCTTAAGAACATGCTCATATAAAACAGCATCAATGATATTGGAGTTCCAGGTTGGAGTCTACAATTAACATCTATAGATGAAAAACATCAAAAGAATAAGATACACTATTACATGATACCTAGAAATCTTAAATAGATTTCTGCTATATATCAAGAAACCTGGCTCAATATCTAACATAAAGAGCATTATTACAGAAGTATTTCTATTATTTTGCATTTTTTTGCTATTGATTTTAATTAAACTTTCTGGAAATGCAGATATTTTTCAAAAAGTGATCTGGTATCTACATATCTATATATAAACACACCATATGATTATTTTAGACAAAAACATAGTTTCTAAATGCAATAATGCAATAATGCACACAAACACACACACACACACACACACACACACACACACACACACACAGACAGACATTGGAGGGAGAAAAGAAAAAGAGGGAGGTATTAATTTATTTTCAGCCATTAAGATTCAAGGTTTTTTTTCCCCTCTGGTTAAGTTAATTGATAAAATAAAATCAATTGAAAAGTCCAGTCAATTATTAAGCAAAGCAGTCATTCAAATAATACCTTTATAAAATTTTAATATCTGGATATAAATACATTTGCATTTTAACCCTCCCTCCCTCTCTGTTTCCTGTTATGGTGGGTTTGTTCATTCAGTGAACATGAATAATTTGGTTGACAAAAATAGAGACAGAAAAATAGCTTATTTAAATAGTTTGGGTTTTAAGAACACAGCAGAAATACTAAAAGAATAGATGGAGGTGCCAGAATGATGAAGGAATACATTTCATTAACCCATTCTGCAGCTGCAATATATATTTTAACTTAGGGAAAATTATTAAATTTTTAGACATTAATATAAAAGCCATTCTGAAAGTCAGAAAAGTATCAGTGTGATGGGCATGAATCTGAAGTCTGTGAACAAAAAAGATATGATACTGCAAAAAAAAAACTTTTTTCAGTTTTCTTTCCTCTCTATCTCAGTTGTATCTGAATCCATTATTCACTTACTTTGCTGGTTATAAACCTTGACACAGAACAAATATTGACAATAAACTGCATTAAATACCCATCTACCCATCAAAATACTTTAGAGTTTCTCCTCTCTTACTTTGAAACTGTATCTAGCATAGTCAACTTCTTTCCCATTTAATACAATACAGGGCTAAAGAAAATAGTCAGGGCAAAAGGCCTCCTAAATAAAATGACATCAATCATATATGGTTTCCACCAATACGTGCTATTTCATGTATAATGATCTTGATTCTATCCCTCTGTTAATGCAGCCTAGTACTGCGTTGGCTTTTTTGGCAGCTGCAGCACACTGCTGGCTCATATTTAAATGATTGTCCACTAGGACTCCAAGATCCCTCTCACAGTTACTATTATTGAGCAAGGTACCCCCTATACCAGTGGTGATGAACCTATGGCACAGGTGCCAGAGGCAGCACTCAGAGCCCTCTCTGTGGGCACGCGCACCATCGCCCCAGTCCTAGGCCTTCAGCTGGGTTTTATAAAACTTTTTCGCTTTAGGCCTTTGCTGCCATGTGCAAAAAAAAAAAAAAGGTTCAATGAGTCAATTTCAACTTCTTGCGGGGAAAAAAAAGATCTTGCAAAATTGGAATTGATTGATTGAATCCAGTCTGCTGTTACCACTGCAGCCACGCCCACCCAATGGGCCACGCCCACCCAATGGGCCACACCCAGCCAATGGACCACACCCAACCAATGGCCACACCCACCCGGCACCCGACGATGCATAAATGGGTTTTGGGTTGCAGTTTGGACACTCGGTCTCTAAACGGTTTGCCATCACTGCCCTATACTATACTTGTACATTTGGTTTTTCTTGCCTAAATGTAGAACCTTACTTTTTTCACCATTGAATTTCATTTTGTTAGATAGCACCCAGTGTTCAAGTCTGTCCAGATCCTCTTGTATCCTAAGCCTGTCTTCTGGAGAGTTGGCTATTCCTGCCAGATTGGTGTTGTCTGCAAATTTGATGAGTTCCCCATCTATCCCCTCATCCAAATCATTGATGAAGATATTGAAGAGCACTGGGCCCAGAACAGAGCCCTGGGGCACTTCCCTCCATGTAGATGCGGTTCCAGGCTTCTTTGTCTCCGTCAATGCTAAATCAGTTATTTTATTATGACGATCCCATTAAGCACAGTCTTTACCACTTTCTTGATTACAACCATTTGATTACTAGGTGTATATTAAGAAAGAATTGCCTAATAAATTTTTTAATAAAGGCTGCTATGTTCACCCTATTCTCCTACAAATGCTGAGTTAATTATAAATGTCTTTGATGCATGTAAGTTTTGTTTTTAAAAACAAAACACACTATTAAATAAGATTTAGGATCAAAATTACTATCTTATGTATTTCAAATTTCTACCTATTTCTGAAAATTTATTATTGCAGAAAAAAATAGAATCTTGATTCTATCTGGAAAGTTTAGTTTGATATTAAGACTTCAGGAAGATGAAATGTCTAACATCTGGAAACTTAATATCAGAGTTGAACATTTTAAAAAAAATAGAGTATTTTTATCTCACCCTCTTTTTAGGTGATTTTTTAAAAAAACCTTTCAATCAAAAAGCATTTGAACTGTATTTTTTTAGGTAGAGATATAGATCTGATTGCTCCTTTCACCATCCAGTGTCAATCTCCATAATTTGCTGTGAATTTAATTGAAAGGAGTAGACTGGTAAAAGGGAAACCTGTAATTTCTCCAGTTATTTCTTGACAAAAAACTAAAAGCTGTTCCCTACCTTTCTGATATGAGATAAATGGGCAGGAGAAATAAAAGAACCGAAAGTCAATGTTAGCCTTTTTTTTTTTTTATCCACAAACGAAGTTCTCAAATAAAAATTTGGAGAGGAATGGAAAATAAGGGGTGGAGCCAAGAATTGGATCTTGCTGGACTGCCATTCTGTCAGAGAAATTGTGTGCCATACAATGATTTTCAGTTTACTAACCCTTTGGGGGGGATGATGTCATGGATCTATCTTTTTTCAAAAGACTTAAAAGCTGTGGGGCCCCTGGTGCTCTCTGAGCTTGGTGGTTTTCTTACAGATGTTTTATTACCTAACTAATTAACACCACCACTGCTAAAATGGTTATGAAATGTCTGCAAGAAAACCATTAAGCTCAGAGAGCACCAGGGACCCCACAGTTCAACCCTGAGCTACAAGTATTCTTTTCTATAAGGACTTAATAACCATCTATCGTTCCAAGAACTGTGAGATCAATTCTTCAAGAACGGAAACAGGTAATCATTTTTGTACTGAGAGGAGTGCTGCACCTGTAAACATCTTTTAAAAATCCTCTGATGGCTCAGTAGATGATATCATGAGGCTATCATAGTAGGCAAAATTAAAAACTGAAGGCCCTTTTTGGTTTCTGAAAGGATGAATAGAGTTTTTAAATAGATCTAAAGCTATGTTTCTCCTCTTTGGCACTTTCAAAACAAAAACAAAAAAACATGAACTGGAGATGTGGTGGTACCATAATATGCTTACCTTTCTCTCGAATACTTAAATGGATATATTTATTATTTTTAAAAATAATAAACAAATCTTGTGGCCTGTACCATATATATTAAATCAATAAAGATACAGTCTTGTCCCAATGAACATAAAAGACTTTACTTCTGAATTACTAAACATGTAGTCCTCAACTTACAACCACAATTGAGCCCAAAATTTCTGTTGTTAAGTGAGACATTTGTTAAGTGAATGTTGGCCCATTTTATGATCCTTCTTGCCACAGTTGTTAAGTGAATCACAGCAATCATTAAGTTAGTAACACGGTTGTTATGTGAAACTGGCTTCCCCATTGACTTTGCTCCTCAGAAGGCTGCAAAATAATAAATATGGATCAATTGCCATATTGTCTGAATTTGGATTACATGACCATGGAGATACTGCAACAGTCGTGTGAAAAAATGATCATAAGTCATTTTTCTCAATGCGCTGTAACTAAGAGAACTGTTGTAAATCAAGGATTACCTGTATGTCGGTATTATTTTTTTAAATGGTACATGTTCATATTACTCTAACGAAGCAGTCCTGTGAGTGGATATGAAATCTGAAGCACTGATGACTTTGCCCAAAGGAGGAAACTATAAAGAGTAGAGCAGCGGTCCCCAACCTTTGTGGCTTGGTGTAGCTCACTCATTCAAGAGAAAAGAGAAGCCTTTGGGGTGCTGTCTTGGCTTCTTCAGGCTTCTCCACACTAAAAGCTTTTGCAAAGGGATGAAAGGCCTGACGTAGCACATGATTACTTTCCCGAAGCCTTTCATCCATTTGCAAAAGCTTTTGGTGTGGAGAGGAGAAGCCTTTGGGGCCGCAGCTTTGTGCTCCTTCAGACACACTGAGGCTGCCTGACACTCCAAAAACAGATCAGGTGTCCTGTGCAGGCAGCCTCAGTGATTTTCAGCAAAGCTGAGCAGGGCGCGCCCGTCCCACTCAGCCTCTGCTCTCACCGCTCCATTTTTGCAGCATCGGGAGCAGGCAGCTTGGCAGCCTGGCTGGGGGGGAGGGACAACCAGACCCCATGAGCGGTGGGCCTGTGTGCACAGATGCACAGCTCCATCACCCAGTAGTGGGGACTCCTGGAGTAGAATTCTTGTACTTTCATTTTATTTTTGGGAGGTCCCTCTTTTCTTTTCCATTAGGAGCAATTCTAAAACTTTCTGCATTAGAGTCCTAGACTGCAAGAAAAACTCTCAAACCAATAAGAATACACATCCACTTCAGGCTTCCATCTGAATATATGCAGATAGGGCACAGAACTGTATGTTCAGCCTGGTTCCTATCCATTTTAAGGGCCTCTGTTGAACTGTTACACAAAACTAAAAATTCAAAGACATAATATACTATGTACATGTGCATGAACCCTAAAACAACATGCACTGACTATACAA